TGAGCAGGTACGTCAACGAGACCGCGAGGGTCGGACCGATAATTTCAGCGGCGCGGGCGAAGTAGTAGAAGAAGCACAAGAAGAAGTCCCATTCATCCGGCGCTTGCACCGGAAACTGACAAAACAGTTGATACGCCATGATATAGCAGGCCACGGGAATACGAATGGACGTGGGTGGATATACGAGGCGCGAATGGCGTCGAAGGGGAGTTTGAGGAAAAGTCTCGGGCCTGTGCGAGAGAGAGAGAGAGAGAGGGAAAAAAAGAAAAGAGAGAAAAGAAGGGAGGACAATATGAGAGATGGACTGAGAGAGAGAGAAAGAACGGTAAGCGAGAAAGCGAATTGGCGAGGACGGAAAAAAATATTCGCGAATGCGAGGAATGGCTCCGGTGGCACGGAGAAACAGAGAGAGAAGAAGACTGAGAGGGGAAAACACGCACAGTAAAATGTCATCGAGCGATCCTGATTTACGGCGCAGGGAAATCGGCGGAGAGAACTTCGTGCCGAGTCCGTGCGGCCGGAAACCGAGAAATTTTTGCTCATTCGAACTTTCATCGACGCGCTTCACGGACGGTTCGCGATAAAAAATGTAGACGTTCCCGGGCGTCGTTCTTCTTCGGCCGGAGAAAGGGGGAGGGGGAGGGGGCGACCGAACGACGACGGGAGGGGAAATTATTTTCGAGGAGTGGAAATTATTTTCGATCGGCCGCGAAACGGTTAGGAAATTAAATGAGATGCCGCCCGCGAGATTGGCAAGATTGGCGCGCCGACGGAAATACGAGATACATTAATTTTTCCCCTTTAAGTCAACATCGGCTGCGGCGCACCGCATGCTGACGAGCGTAAATCTGTGCCGCGTATAACGCGGGAAACTGTGCGTTAGTACGTCGTTGAATAGCGCTTACGGTCGACCTAATAGCGCCATTATAACGCGAAACTAATTCTCCGGATTACGAGCGAAAGATCGGAGACGCTTATTACGACAGTTATGTTAAAGAAAAGAATGATGCAGCTTTGACAGTAACGTATTTCATTACACATATACATACTTCGATCCATGTGTACACTTGAAATGTGAAGAAGCAAAAATTGCATGTTGCATTCGAGAATTTCCACGACATTTGTGTATCTTAAACATTTTGCTGTTACAATGGTCAAGTGATATTAGACCCAGTAATATTGCCATTATCGTCAACATTATTTGCATAATTGCCCCACCTGTTTCCGACAGTTGACGAAGAAGATTACGCAACGCAAAATATAATCCGCGCGGCGAACAAGGGGTGTCGTATTTCAAAGTATAACTGAGATCCGGAACACACCGGTTTAAATTGCGCACACAATTAGCCGGTTAACTACTAATTAGCAACGGAAACTTGTATCTCACTTCTCAGATACGCTTCACCGCGGCGCTACCGCGCTGGAAACAATATTTGTCTTTGATTACCTTGAAAGTGTTTACGTACGGGGTAAATAATACCAATTGCGCCACACCGAACGCACGCTCTCTCCATATCGATTACAGTCCTCTGAAAAGATAGGGTACTCTTTGCGCATTCCGTCGCTAATTACCGAATTACCGCTCGAATTAAGTCCCATTATGTATGATTGGCCCACTTATCGACCGTCGCACCGAAGAACCCAGGCGCCGCGGCAACGCGGACCATTACATTACCAACTTAATACACGACACGAAGGACGCTTCTTAATTCATCGGCCTGAATTATTAATCGATCGTGCAAGCAATAATCCACTCATTTCCATTTAATCTCCACACTCATTCGATAACTAAACATTATTAATGGCAGAATAATTTGTAATTCAATATAGTACAAAATATGAAAAACGAATTACTTCAAGCACCATATAACATGATAATTCTCGCACTTCCTTTTCTGCATATTACAAATCTCGAAGCTGCTTCGTCCGAAAATTCTGCCGGAAAATTTTCGAGTTATTTATCATCGTCGTGCGAAAGGCATCGACAATAAAAGCTGCGGAGCTTCCTCTTAATAATATACAGACTCGGGCAATCTGAAAAGGGTTAGAATCCGCTGTCGATTTACGGCCCGGTCACTCGCCGCCTTTTACACCGCGACAGAAACATGACGCGCGAATGAAAGGCGCAATCGCGCCGGTGGTCGATAATTTCGGCGGTGAAATTCTCGAAGGCCGGCCCATAACGACTTTCATCCGGCGCGGCTGAATAACTATGCAAATGTTCCACCCCACCGGGGGTTAAGCAGAGAGATCGCCGCCGACGCGGCGCCCTATAACCACGCGTAGAGTTACGAGGGAACGGGCCCATAAAGCCACACGCACGGTAAAGATTGACCTCTCTATGGACGATGATGTCCGTCGTGAACGCGTAACGAGATTCCTGCCGTCGTCGAGGCAGCGCGCGGCCTCGCATTTTCCGCGGATATCAAATTGCCATCTGGATCGTCGCGGTGAGCGCTCGGGATTCGTCCGGCGGAACTTTTCCGCCTCTCTGGAGAGCTCGCGACCACGCTTAAAGCGCCATTTCCCTCGAACAAGCTTTACATGCCTTTTTATCCTTCGTTAATGCTTGCGGAACGCTCGGACGAGAACCGCGATTCCATTCGTCTTCGTATTACACGATGCACGTATAAAGTTTCCTCAGATTTTATCTTTTAGTTCGGAATCTTTTACCGACGATTCTAATTAAATCATCATTTAAGTTGTAAATACTGTAATGTACTGGGTTATATAATAAACAAAAATTCGGATTTTTTTATAAACAACAATTGATAGACTATAACTTGGACAAAAAAATATTCAATTTAAGTATTAAACTGCGCTTTGTCCGACAATTTAATTGGAAAATCCCAAAAATACTTACACAACCCGATAGAAACAAACGGAGAATCAAATAAAGTTTAATTAAAAGAAATTGAAGTAAATTAAATCAATTAGTATAAACTGAGACGTAAATAAAAACACCAAAATTAAATTTGTTACATGTGGCGAAAGTAATCGACCAAATCTGGTGCATCTGCCTTACTGGATATATGAAATGTTCAAGAGTTGTGCGGAACCAATAGTCGCTCACGTCTCGTAATTAATCACGATGTTGCAGCGGAGCTCGCATATCGAAAATCGTTCCCACTCGTTCAAGTAGTATCATCAAAGATTTAAAGCCTGCCATATCAAGCGACTACGAAGATGATCGTAATGCCATTTTCAATTTACCCGTTGCGACAACCGAGCGTTGCATTGACGTCGCCGAAAGAGAATCCGAAGTGTGCGTGGCCGCGAATTAAGGTCTTCTCAATATCTGCCAGATTTTCATATACACCGTCACGGCGCATATATTGATGCATACCGATGCGCATCGGCGTACGGAGACGAGCCGAAATAGTAGTCTCTCAAGCCCGTATCCATCGCCGTTAAATTAATAACCGTGCTATCCGCGTGCACCGAACTCCTCCGAAATATTGCCCCGACGCTTCCACCCCCCTCCCCTCCCGGACCCCGTCCATCCGTGCGTCTCTTGTCCCGTCACATCCCCGCTATGCAGTCCGCCATATATCTCGCATATGGCTCTCGCGTGCACGCGTCAGTCGAATACGTGCGGGTGACGAGCGGAATTCAGAATTCCGAATGTGTGAGAGGTTGCGATGGCCGTATCGTTCGCGCAAGAGCGAGAGGGTGAGTCGCGCGGTCTAGCAAAAGAGGGAATCACAATGCCAAAACGAGCCCCTATCGTCGTCAGGCCGACCGACACGGCCGATAACAGTCAATGCGCTAAATGCATCGGAATCAAATCTGGGCGATTCATTTTCGCGCCGACCCGAGCCGGCCGCCGTACGATTCGCTTTCACATGTCGACGCTGTAATATTTGCCCGGGTCAAAAATCGGCCACCCGAAAGAGTGAAAGAGACGAGGCGAGCTGACATTAGCCGCGTTATTCAACAGATAATTCTTATTAAAGGATTTTAAAAAACGTGGTGTGCTAGAGTTCAAGCAGATACTTCGTGTAACGTGCGTTAATATTTTCGATTGCACTAGAAAATGTTATTTCTCAAAATCAAATCTTCCTAGTTTTCATAGTTTCTGCAAGCCGTTTCGGCAAAGTTCGAGGATCGAACAGAATTATGGTATACTATATTGACGGCTCGATTTCGTATTATTTATTTCGGAGCTTCGTCAATCTCAGTGCATTAATTATTTCGAGAATTGTCACCTGTCGCCGAGCGAATGTTGACGCGGCGAATAAGCATTTCCGTGCGTCAGCATTGTGCGATGCTTATGTCGGGCGATGGCATCGATGGGCCAGACTAGGTTTTAATTTTGATTGCGTCGGACCGACCTACATGCATCGCGGCATAATTCCACATGTCGTAAAAGTCCGAATAACTCGCGAATCGATTTCTCGTTATTCTCAACGGAGTAATTTCGTCGTGACTGGTTCGCAATGCAAACTTCCACTATAATTAAATCTCCGCGTGTCCTCTGATTGCTTCATTAGCGCATTACTTGTTATTCGTAGCACCAACGCGCAACAGCGATTGCACCTCGTAAAAAGAGACAAACAAAACGAAAATCGACGGCAAAAGAGGTGTAAATCTCGTCGCCGCCATCGATACGGCATTAAAGCATAGTTGAAAAGTATAAAAGTAAATAACACGAGAAAGAATCAGAAATTCGTCAGTCCATTGAATTAAATAGGCTCGCGTGAAAATTAAAACGTTTCACGCATGAAATACGTAATCATAAATTTGCAATGTTATTTGTTTCAAATATTATTAAAATAATATTATAAACAAATTATGTAACTTCAAAAATATACTTGTGAAAAAAGTGTTTGGTATATTTTACACTTAAAAAATATGTGTAAAATAACTTTAAAAATATTTTTAAATAGATTCAAATGCGAATGACATTCTTTCATTCATTTTTAGCGCAAAGTTAAACCTTTGTCAGCCCTTCAGAATCGCTTAGTTGAGATATAGAATTTTGCCAACGAACTACATACCGTATGCGGAGACCAATGGTGAGGCCAGGTTTTGGTCTCGTGACTGCTGCCGACCGATGGTTGACTTGCTAAAAAGACGACCCGTCTGTCGGTGCTACCGGTTCCGGTGCCGCTGGTCGTCAAAAGGGCTGCCCTGGCCCTTGAACCGCCGATGCTTAATGTTGGTGACGTGTCCATTACTCCCTGAAAGCCAGATACATTACAAAGGTTGTCGAGTCTTGAAAGCAAACATTCGTCGAATCAAAGTGAACTTTGCAACACGATTCAACTTTTTCCACGATTATATATATTCGAAATAACTTTTTATTTTTATAAATTATTTTAAATCGCATATAAATTTTTGCACGAAGCGCAAATAACCTGGTTATTTTTTGAAAATAATGTTGCCGGCATCTGATAAAAGATACAGAATTTACTCGCCGAAGTGCAGCGATTTTGACTAAAATGCGCCGCGGCTTGCATAAGGAATATGGGTTTTCTTTATTTCACCGAGCGGATTTCGACTACTCGTGTAAGATAGCGACTTTCAGCGAAATTCAATGAGGGTAATGAAACCCGCTGGCTGGGAGATGAATGCAGTCGAAGGACGCTGAAAACGTGGCTTTCGTGTCGAATGTACTTCTCGAAAAAGATTCTTATTAATCCAACCTTCTACATCGTACTTCAGTATTCATCGACTGTAAGCAACGACTTAGATTTTAATATCTTGATTTCATCTGCTACTTGCGTTACTAATAAGCTACATTAATGTATCTATTAAATTTTATTTTCAACACTATGCAATGTTACTCTAATTTTAATTAATTTAATAATAAATAAAACTATATATCCTTTCAAAAAAAAAAATATGATCAATGAAAAATATACGATTGAAAAATAAAATTGCATATATGCATATATTTACAACTTAAATTGTATAAATATTTTTATTTCCACATTTTCCAATTAATATCTCATACATAAAATGTTGAATATCTAAAACGCGATATTTAACATTACAGTCGATAAACTACTAAAATATTTTTACCTTACGCCTGATTAAAATAAATAACAAAAAGTAATAAGTAAAAAAGACGTCGAAGAACAGAAGTGAAAATTAGATCCCATTACTTAATTTGAGCGAGCGTGAGTTCACGTTCCGAGTTAACATTTTCCAGCAACGTTCCCACCGAGCCACTGGTTTCTTAAAAATTTCATTACCCTCTCTGGCGGAGAACTACCGACATTCTCTTTTCCTCTCTTTTTTTTTCCGCTTATTTTCGCCGCTCTTGCGCGACGTGGCCACGATTCGTAAAGCAGAATCGACGGTGGTGATCCAACAACTCGACTACCATCGCGAATGAAATCCGATGAGTATAATCGAGCTCGTTAGATTGTTGGGATGAAAACTCCGCGAGCCACTCGTACGTCGGTAAAGTCCACATGGAGAGCAAGCACCAAGTAGCGGAACGAGAAAGAAATGCGAAGAACCGAGAGCAGTGTCGTTTTTCAGCGAGATTTACGGATCGTCGGTGGGCATTAAGAGGAATGATACGCGACCGCATCTCCCGCACGAACACACGACAGACGAAAGAATAGCGGAAACCAAGCGAAAATTCAAATTTTTATAATGTCAATGAATTAAATTTTAAAAAATAATTATTTCCTTGCGTGATACATTGTTTTTATTACTGTAAATAAATAAAGAGATCATCTTCCGATGTGTACGTAACAACAAAAATTGGATTTGACAGAATTAAAATGTAGCAGGTGTGTGAGTTAAATCTGACACAATCCGGCACTTCCTAATGATATTTAAATCATATTCATGACTTTTTCATAATTTCTTTTACATATCTATTAAAAATTTAAATAGTTAAATTAAGTGATTAATAATTAAACGATTAACAATAAGCATTACTATATGTGAGTTTTATATTTAGAAATATTTCAACGCCATAGTTTCCCCAGCATGTTATCTTATCGATTTCATGAAACTAATGGAACGCGTAAGAGGGGAAAAAAGTGGAACAAAAGCGGAGTATAATCGTGGGGGAAAAAAGAATGAAACAAAAACAGACGGTAATCGTAAAATTGACCTTACCTTTCAATTGAATCTCTCGACGATCTGGTACGCCGTAAACGTCACCGAGCTGAACCCGAGCGTGCTAACGATCAGCCGTTCCGCCGACAAGGACCAAGGACGAGTTCTTCCGCAGTCGCGATCAACCACTCTCGTATTCAGATTTCAGCCAGTGGCCCATCCACCCTCGCGTCTCGGGGCACCGGAGTCCTCCACCTCAACCAGGTAATCCCCGTAGTCGCGTGCACCTAGTCATTATAGCGGAGGGTGCGGGTAGTGCTGCTAGGTGTCCCTTAAATCGTTCCAGCACGACGTCGGCTCCTCCTCCGCGCAATTACGAGTCATTACGAGCGGAATTCCGCACAGTGGCAACACACATACACGCGGCGAGGACCATATATACCGAGCTCACCAGGTGTTACACGCCAAAGTGCGTGGGCGTTATTTACGACGACCGAGAGCTGCGTCGGATCGGCGAGGTGGTTGACTCAAACCGTTTCGGAATAACGTCGATAATGAAGATAACGATGGCGGCGGCGGCGGCGGATTCTCAGCGGAATTCTGTCGACTCGGTAACAATTCGTAAAACTCGCCGCCGTGTCTACCGCGTGACGTGCTGAAGAGAGTGTTGTCAGTCAACGGAATGGCGTTTCCGCCTGACAGCCGCGCGAAATCCTGCCACCTTGTGATTTACTATCGCGTGGCTCTATAGCGGCACGAGTTCCTATTTCGCGGCGGTATAACTGACAAGCCTCCTGTCTGCCAGGGCTTCGAGCTTTAAGCTGTCGGAAGACTAATCCTCTTCTCTCTCGGCTGTCAAACGATTTCAATTACACCCATCATATTACTGTCGTCGACCAAATTATCCCGATGCAAATGATCATCAAATAATATTCGCCGCCCTGACGTGCTCCTATCTGTACGTCAATTGCGCGTCGAGGCTTCCATAATCAGTTACTTCGAGTGATTCTCATGACTGCCCGGTAATTTCATCCCTCGATCGATCGTTGAATCGCGATTTCTCGTCGACGAACCGAACGAGAGGCTCCGCCATCGCTCGGCCACAGCCGGGCAGATTTTCCAACTGAAGAGTCCACGCGATCTGTCACCGATCGGCAGGTGCCTGGCACGAGCTCTGGCACAGTCGTCGCCTCGCCAAGCGCCGCGTACGGAATCGCGCACGACACTGAAGCGACAGGAAGTCTCGTACTCGGGGCGAACCTCTCTCGCGGATTCGCGGGCTCACGTGTGAAATTCTTGCGCATGCACCAACGCCTTCCATCCCTCCCCAGCTCTCCTCGCGCCCTCCAACGGCGTTACCCTTCGTCCCGCTCTATCCTCCATAAGGTCCACCTCGCTTCCTCTCTCACTCTCCCCGTAGCCTCTCCTCGTTCAACTTTCTCTTCGTCTTTTCGCCCCTCTCCCACCTTCTATCTCCCACCCCAAAATCAACTGTCGCTCTTCCCTCTTTGTCTTCAGTAGTCGCGCCACCCCCGCATCTCGCGCCGCATCTTCTTCTTTCTCCGTTTCTTTCCCTTCTTCCAGATGGCTCCTGAATCATGAAGCGACAAGTGTTTGGCGCCGAGGCAGCGTTTGTGCGGGAGTTAAAGAAGTATTTTATGAAGTAAGCGCAAGAGTATCTCGATTCACAGCTGTGGAAACGGATAGTATCCTTAATTGGTCCCTCTCTGCCGTTCGGCGGACAATCGATATGGCGTCGGCAATCTAGGTCAAAAAGAGCAACATTTCTTCTTTAGAAAGTTCATTCGCGTTTTTTGTCGTTAATCGGTTATGGTATACCGATCGCGAAATGAGAGCTACTCTTATAGAGCTTCTCTCACTCGGCTTTTCGCATTTTGATATTGAGTCTCTATAAAGCACGCTTTGTTTCATTGCTTTAATTGTATGTACAGTAAAAATTTTTCGCAAATTAAAAACGCAGGGTGTCCCAATTTGTGATATTGCTTATACAAAATACCTACAAGGGAGAGAAAAACAAACAAAACAATAAGCGTTGAAAATCGCGTATAGTTCTCTCACTTTCCGCGCTCACTGTGTAACACGCAAATAAATTTATTGCGCTTATTTCTTTCTCGTGAATCCCGCAATCGTAAGAGAGAAAGAAAAAGAAATCGTAATCTAAAAGGAGACACGGAAATATGCTAATTGAAGATAAGCTAACCCAGATTCGCGGTATGGACCTAGGGCAGGAAAAACGGAGAGTCTTTAAACGTTTGACGTGAGGTCGGCCGCGTGACTCGCCGCGGAACAATTCTGCGAATATAACTGACGAGCATTGTGTTTCCAACCCAGTTAATCGTTATTTTAACGCGACTCGGGATCACGCGCGGATTCACGAACTGAAATTCATACACGATCATGCTAAATTATGCACGCGCACCGATGCGATTCGCGTGAATCTGATCTGCTTATCTGCTAGTGGGAAATTCTACAAATCGTAACTCTTAAAGAAAATTCTAAACAAAAAATATGTGTTTCTCCCGTGATTTTTTCAGCAATATATTAGTCGCACAAGTTTCCATCACTCGTGTATAGATAGATTGCTCAAAAAGCGGAGACTTATTGCGGTATCGGTTTTTTGCTTGAAAGATGGTAAAAAATAATAAATGCGAAAAGTTGTTGACTAAAAATATTGTGTCATTTTTAACATATTGCTAAAGAAAATTGCCTTGAAAATAAAACTTGTATGTCTCTGATATTCTAACATTTTTATTGTTGTTTCATCAAGCTTTTTAATATCGTCCGAATGACATAAAACCTTATTGCATCAATTTTCAGTTACGTAAAGTCGCAAATAACGAAACGTGAAAGCTTGACTAGTAAATTGTCTAACAACTTCGGTTGCTTCAGTCGTTTATCGCTTACCGCTTAAAAATCTTTCTAGAAATGGAAATAATTTTCTTAGAACTGTGCAAAAGCGCCATCGGAATTAAATTGAAAACGATTCGGTCCGCTGCTTTGACAAATGAATCGGCTCTAATTGCCGATACGACTGTCTTGTACACGGGATTATATTCCAGGATGCATCAGCAAGATTAATAGTGTTTTTGCGATGTATTTTTTTAGAAAATTCAATCAGTACGCGTAAAAAGAATAATAATGATCAAACTGTATAGATGTTATATTTTTTTACAAAATTGACTTCTAGTGCTTCTCAAATTTTATGAAATAAATAATAAAAAAATAATTTTTTATTTGATTAAAAATTCAATGGGAAAAAATCAATCGGAAAATAAATATTAAAAATTAAATCATGAGTGCATTCTTTGCTGTTGCACTGAACGTTTATCGCGTATTAAATCATTGCAGAATAACTTTTCCTCTTTATTTTCACGATGTGATAGTTCTGGCAGTTACACCCCTTTACTTTAGCTTTTCGATTACAGCTCGTCAATTACAAGTCTGCGAGTTGCAGGATCGTTCGTCGGCGCATATACACACGCACACATACTATCCGCCAACCGATTAACTGCAAAACGCAAACAGCGCGCGATTAATCGCGATCCGATGGCGACGTCAAAGCGACGAAACGGGTAGATCGCGACGAAACGCTTCTACCGTACGCCGCAATCGAGACAATGCAGCGCTGCAGCACAGGGATTGGAATTGCAAAATGTAGGATCGACTGGCTATATACACTTCCTTCCCTTCCCTTCCCTTCTCACCCTTTACGTCCCTTTTCTCTTTGTCATTGTAGCTCGTCTTGCCGTTCGCGTTGCATCTTGGCTTCTGTATCCTCTCCCACTTTTCCAC